CATACATACATACATACATACATACATACATACATACATACATACATGCATACATGCATACATACATACAACATCCATACATACATGCATACATACAAACATGCATACATACATACATACATGCATACATACATACATGCATACATGCATACATACATGCATACATACATACATGCATACATGCATACATGCATACATACATGCATACATGCATGCATACATACATACATACATACATGTAAATGTTCAGTTTCACCACCATTCTCTACTTAACGCAGGCTATCAGTAAGTCTGCTGCTGATCAGAAGTTCATTTTAAAACTAAAGCTTGTTAGATAATTCTGGTGTTTGTAAAGTTGTAGATGTTGTGATTAAGTAGGGAGATGAAATGCCCTTGACATCCCCTCAGTGATGAATAACTAATAGATTATGTCTCTGAAACCATGCACTGCTTTTCAAATAATAGACTCTGTTCATCTCTTTCTTTTGCTTTATCTTCACTGTGCACCATTTTTTATTTTTCTTCTAAGCCTGTCTTGTCCTGTTTCTCTTCTGTCACTTCAGAATTTCTGCTGGTAAATCTCCTGTTTTTGCATCTTCTTTGATTTTCCAGTTTTCGAGGTGGACTCGACGTCACTCACGGTCAGACGGGGACAGAATCTGTCTACACAAATTTTCATAATAAGGAGATTATGTTTCACGTGTCCACCAAGCTGCCTTACACAGAAGGAGACTCACAGCAGGTAAGCTTTTTTTTTTTTTTTTTTTTTTTTTTTTTTTTTTTTTTTTTTTTTTTTAATAATTAAGCTTTTTTTTTCCTGGTTAATGCAATATTTGCTTTATAAAGGTGGAATGTAGTTTATACAAACAAGGCCTGAATTGAAAGTTTGACAGTTTGGAAAAATCCCCTACTAGCCCTTTTCTATTAAAACTTATATAAGAAAATTAACTAGTTTTGCTGGAATATCCTGAAACCCATTCATGGTCTTATTCTCTTATTCAACATTTCCTGTATTTGTTTACTTCTTTGTAATATTAAAATAGCCCAGCTTGCACCCATCAAACAACTAAAAAATATGCAAATTTACTGCATCTATGCAGTGGGACAAAATGCAACATTTTTGATCACTTAATGTGTTTGGCACATCACTATAGCTAAACTCAGTTATACATGTATGTCTCTTTTTGTTCCCACACAAATAATAAACCTTCATGTTATTATGTTTTATTTCTTATAGGTTAAGGTTTTATGTATTTAGATTTATTAAAAATCTCTCGTCATTACAGTAGTTAAAATAAGATATTATCAGACTATTCCTAAATGTATTTATTTAAACTTAAGCCTGTCATGATCAGCTGCCCCCGCTGGCCCCCATCTGCTCACTTCCCTGCCCCTTCATGACATGCTATGTTTTCTGCCATTATGGTCATAGTTTCTGTTCATGTTTATTATTCTCATCTCCTGTCAACCTGCACCTCTGCCTGCTCACTTCACCACACCCCCTCAGCCTATCACAGCAATCAGCCCTGATTCCACTCACCTGTTCAGCTCATCTGGTTCACCTGCTCTGCACCCTTCACAAGATCCATTCTCCCTCTCCACCAGTGTGAGATTATTAAACCTCCCGTGGTCCCTGATAGTGAAGCCTTCAGTCATAGTATCCTGTTCCATAGTGTTGTCTTTTGCCTTGTCTTGCCTTGAACCCTCGCCTGTTTTTTGACTCCTTGCCATGCCCTGCCCCTCTCTGGATTTGTCTGCATATCTGACCACGGTAACGACTCTTGCTCTCCCTTTGACTACTCTTTTTGATCACGACTCGGCCCTATTCATGTTTCTCTGCTTCTACGTGCTTGAGCCCTGCTACGACCATTGGAGTAGTGATGGCCAAATGAAGCAATAAAGCAGTATTGAACCACTTTGCCAATTGTATTGAACTTGGGTTAATTCATTCAAAGGTTCATTTCAGTGACATCTAGTGGTGAAATATAGTATATATTTATGTATATTTAAAAATAGGGTCCGTGTGTCCTCCCCCAGAAAAAATTGGAATAAAAGAGATGCCATTTCCTGCATTTTGGTGTATTTTAACAGGTTGTTAAACATTTGAATAAACTGGTTAAAAAGAGGTCTCTCTTGACGAGGCTCAAGGCTAAACCTGTATAAATAAAGGTTGAATTGAAATTACTATTTTAGAGAGCAACAATTAACAAGCCTGTGTATGAATGCACGACCTTAACAGTCTGTCAGGTGCCCTACCCCCCTCCCCCACACACACACACACACACACACACACACACACACACACACAGCCGACCTGAACTCTTCTCAGCTGAATTCAGTCCTGTGTGTTCTGCTCCAGTCTCACTGCCATCCATCCATTTATTTTAGATAAATTGTCTTTTCTACATTTTGGTCGCTTTGACTAATTAGTGCTGTTGTTTTGATACTTGATGTAATACACATCAAACATTTCACTCGTTTTTTTTTTTTTTTACTGTAAGCTTATTTATTATGTCTGAAATGTTATGCACTGTAATGTATGCAGGAGTTCCGACAGCAGTTGTGCGCGCGTCCTGCAGAGCTGTGTGGAGACGCTGTGCGTAAAACACCTGTCTCAGGGCGCACAGCTGGAGGAGGATGAAGACGCTCCCTGCAGGACTCTGCTGGCAGGAGCGTGGCGCGGACAGAACATCCACTCGTTGTACTTTTAATAAATAATCAAAATAAAAATGCGCAATGACTTTGGACTTTTAGGGGCGGAGTTGGCGGATCCGAGCGGTCAAAATTATAGAGTTCCAGTATCTTGTTCTGACAGGATCCAACTCAAATGAACCACTGTCTGAATATAAAAAACAAGAGCTGTTTGTAACGTATAATACGTGAAGAACGGGGATGTGAACCGGGGCTTGAGCCATCTTAAATACACTGAATCACGCCAAATGACTGAAACTCCACCTGTCAACTTGAAGCAGTCAGCTGACTCGGTCTGAATGAAGCAGTGAAGTGGTTCACACGTCATCGGTGACGTCACATGAAGCGAGCTCCGGCCCAATGCTTCACCATAACTACCCTATCGAGTTTGAAGCGTGCTTTGAAGCTTCGGTGTTAGAGGTAACATCACTACATTGGACCACTCCTCTGGATTTCACCTGCCACATTCAGACTGAAAAGTTTGGACTCCTGCCTTGGACCCTGACCCCAGCAACCAGCAGACTAGTTAATAAAAACTGTTCTTGTTTTTGCACTCCTGTGTCTGGCTTATTTTGAATCCAAAACCTTAGTTCGTGACAAAGCCAGAAATGCAGACGCACTGAGTAAAAAACTACATTCATTTCTTTTAGATCCAGCTTGTTCTGCAGTAATTGGAAGGCAATATCTTCTGCTTGACCTTTTCAATCTCCCACACTGTTAAGAAGAAAATCTGACCCTCTTTTCTTTAGATTTGTTTCTGTTTTTGAACATTAATGTGTAGAGCTTTAGATTTTGATTTTTTTTATAAAAGTGCTCACACTTAATCAGTTATGTAAGTACACTAGATTTTTTTTTCAAGTTAGCAACTAATCAAAGAACAAGTAATGTTTGTGCCACCGCCACAGTGTCCTGCTCACTACGTCATCTGGAACTGACATAATCTGTAGAAAAAGCTCTAGCTAGTGGATATAAATACTTTTTACTGTAATCTTAATAATTAGATTTGATATGTTGATAATAAATTAACAAATAGGAACTCCCAAAACTGCTCAAAAACATATTCTTCAAAAACCTCAGTAATACCTACTATTGTCCTTATTCCACATATTTTCCTAGATAAAAAGGTTTCACATATTTCATGGATGATTTTGACATTGTACATGTTCAAACCACAAGAAGGCCAAACAGTTTTAAATACTTTAACTTTTTAAGGATATTTGTTCAAATGTATGTATTTTGCCAGACTTCTCATAAGATCTCTAAGTCTGTAGTATCAGAACATAAAAATTATAATAGAACTTAAATTATAGTGTTCAAGCTTGAATTTATAAAGTTTACTAAAAATATGAGATATTTGTTCAAGTTCAAGTTCAAAAATCTTTATCCCCTAGGGGCAATTAGTTTTCCAGTCAGTCACACAAAACATCCATATTAGACAAGACATTGAGACATTAAAATAACAGTACATGAAATCATCACTGTTTGTTGAGAAGCCTGATCGATACAGGAATGAATGGGTTATTCAGTCTCTTCTACATCTGGGCAGCAGATACCCGAGTCCAGATGGAAGCAACCTGAACTCACCATGGAGTGGTGATCAGGATCTGCCAGAATCAGCCTGGCCTTGTTCACTGACCTCATCTTGTGGAGGTCAGTGAGGTTCTGTAGGGCTATTTGCTACTTAATTTCAAACAATGATGGAAAGACTATACCACGTAACTGCGTAATCATGTTAATTATGTAAATATTATCTATAAAAGAACATTTTTGTTTGACATTTTAAATTGACTCAAACATTGTCATGATAGAAACAAGCAACCAGCTCGATGAAAACAAGCCCCAAAAAAGCCCAACTGGCAACCCACCACATTGTTTAAAACAAAGACCATTTTTAAACAGTATAAACACACATTTACTATGGTATTACACAAACAGCAAAATTATGCCAAACACTTTGAATAACATACTTTTAAGCTCTGATTAAAAAATACATTTTGCGTATGTAATAAATGTGTAAATCATATTTTTCTATAAAAAAAAAACCATCCTGGCATCTGCATTTGAGTGAAGCCCCCTAGTGGTCAAACACAGTATGAGTGTTTGTTTAAGTGTGTGCGTGACAGTGCATCTGTCACCTCTGTCAAGAACCAGTTTGGATCAGCACATCAACACCCAACACAGAAATGGTTTAAAAAGTTTATTAGGAAATAAACAGCCTCTGGGTCCGGGCCTGGGTTTGATCTTCTGTCTTGATGGAATAACAGGAACTGTAGTCTCGCTGGAGCAGATGACATCATGCAGAGTGAACAGCAAACAAACAAGCAAACAGAAGGCGTACAGGTCCAATAAGGGCAAATCCAGTTCCAGGGTCCAAGATGGGTAGCAGGGGTTCGAGCACAGGGGGGCAGAGAGCAGAATAAATCCAAAAACGTGATCTTGAAGTGTGGTCGGTGTGGAGGCGCAGAGTAATAACCATAAGGACTGAAGCAGACAAAATCCAAAAGGGAGCAGGCTGGTCGGGTAGTCAGAAAACATGCTTGGATTCAGAACAAGGCAGGATGCAAAGACAAGAAGTGCTGGATTTCTACTGCTCAGAGAGTTTCGAGAATCTGGCACTGAATGAGGGTGAACAGGGAGCTTAAGAGGTGCACAGGTGCGATGAATGAAGCTGATTGAAGAGGCAGGGAGAGGAGGCATGGTGCAGGCACATGAACTGAGTGATTGACAGGACAGAAAACACTTGGCAGGAGAAAAAACATGAAACTAGACAGGCTGAGGTAGTAAAAAAGGGGCAAAAACATGACAACCTCGCCAGCTTGGGCGGGAGCGATAAACAAGAGACGGGGGCATGGAAGGGACAAACTACCTACTACCAATCGTCTTTTGCTTTATTGTGCGGAGCTGGGAGTTAATCAACTAGTTTCACTCGGAAAGAAAGTCAAGCCCAAATAAGCAATGTCACGTTCAAAAGCTAGCCCAAAAAAATGCAATCCACGACTCACAAGATTTGCAAGCGACTTTAGAAAAATACAAGCCCAAAGTGGCTTATAA